GGGCATTTATTATTTAAAAACTGAAAAGTTTGAAAAGTATAGATTTTAATTTGAAGTTGTTGTTAGTTTTTTCCTAATTTTTCATGTAAAATTAAGTTATCTATTGTGAGAATTGAAAGGAAAATTCAAACCAAGCATATTTTAGCCTCATAATGTAACTGTATTTAAATGAGGCTAAGGATGATTAGGGATAAGACCAAATAGTTATAGGATACAATAGTAGATAAGAAATGGTTGATCATCTCTAATAGATTATAAATCAGTCAAGGATATTTATTGACAAACGACAGACAAAAAAGTGAGGTAAGCTGTAGATGGGAGAATTAACAGCAGAAATTAACTAAATATACAGTGAAAATGTAGTAAACACAAATGGCAGAAGTAAACGAAGTAGATATATTTTGAGTGAAAAAGCAAAGGAATTAGTCCAAAAAGACAAAACCATAAAATTTTTGTCTAAAACTGCTTGTAACAGCATTCACATATGAAGAGAATAGTCTCCAACAGGAATGCAAGACTTGACCTTTTGGATAACTATTATAAATAAAAAGGTACTAATTACTCTACTACAATTTCAAATGTAGAGAAGAAGTTGATAAAGAATAATCAAGAACCTTTTCAAAGCATATTATGGGGTTAAAAATATCTTTATAGGTCATATAAGAGTGAATCATTAAACAAAACTAACTTAAATATTCATAACCATTAATAAATGGAGAAGAAAATTATTTCCTACTCTCCATTGAATGAAAAAATACAGCACAATCTGGATTCAGAAGAAGAATCAAATGAGAATTTTATCAGCCTACAAAATCAAAAACAAATACAACTTCATTCAATATGCTAATGGTAATATCTTCTCTAAACATTAGTCTGCGATAAGTAAAATATTATTTCTTTAATAGGCTTCTCACTTTATTTTCATCAAATCTCAAATGTCTTATTTAGCTGATGTTGAAAATTTGTGAAAATATATTGAACTTGATTCAAAAACAAAGATCAC